GCAGTTTTTTTTCTCATCTTTGCACAGTGTCCTCAATAAATATTTATCAAATGAATTTATTAAAGAAGAATAAGAAATATGACAGCCTTTTAAATATTTGAAATGGGAGAGAAATCAATTATCCTCTGTAATAGTAACCTTTAGTTTTCCTCCTCCTCTAAGGTCATACAGAACAAACAGCAGAGGTCTTAAATTAATGGAATTGCTTAAAAGTTGACCACATAAAGACCTCCTTGCTATTACTTCTGGATACACTATTGGATAAAATGTGATTTCTGTAAATGATCAGGCTCGATGAACACTAATTGGCCTCTAACTTTGCCATTTAGAATGATAGAATCTTTTCATTTTCATTGACATTTATGTTCATTTTAATAAAAATGTTTTCAAAGTATACAAAGAATGAAAATATAGTCGGGGGAATTTGGAGACAGGCCTATCTCCAGGGTTTTGTTATTGGTTAAGGTATGTCTGTATGGTGGAAAACCAGCGCAGCGCAAGTATGAGTTGATAGACACGGACAGGTGGACACAATATGGGAGTAACAAAAGTTTATCAAATATGTATATAAAATATATATGTATATATTATATAAAATACATATGTATATATTTATAAACTGTAACTGGGAGAAATGTAATGGCTAATTTATGTATTTGACATAATCAAACTTAACTCTTAACATAACTAAACCTCTTTCATTCTGTAGAAGTTTCATCACCCTCTCATCTTGAAAGAAAATGGATAGCAAATTTGATAGTGAAGGAAAGGGAGGAGTCTCCTCTTGTTTTTTTTGTTGTTGTTGTTTGTTTGTTTCTTTTTTACATTCTTTAAATCTTCTGGACCTGGAAGGAAGCATGCTAGTGGAGAAGTGAGTCCAGAAACCAAAGATGGTCTGTTAACTCCTAAACATCAAATTGATGATGTTGCCCTGATTTCCTCTACCATTCTGCAGAATCTAACTGATAAGCACTCATTTCTTTTGAAAAATATTCATTCTCATGGTTTCAGTGACACTTCAGAAGAGTGGAAAATTATTTGGCAAAATTTTTTCTTCTTTACTTGTCTGTTCCTTTTCTTTCTTTCTCCACTACTCTTTAATTATTCTAAGCATCAGCCCTACTTGCTTCCTTTCCTTTTTACTATTCCACCCATCGTTCCTATGTCTCCACCCTTATCTCTTTGTCTTCAGTTCTCTGTGTCTAATTGATTCTTTGGAAATTCCTGGGCAAACCTAATTACACTGTTCAAAATCAAATAAATTTTTCCATCATTGGCTTTGTTGCTTCTCTAGTGTTTCTTGGCTACAGTGAGTAAAAGATTCCAGTTAACACTAATCTAAGTTTCGAAAAAGCTGTGAAAAGAAAGAGGTCAGATATATTAGGATGGCTGACCAGTAGGACTTGATAATGCTTATCTTTCCATTCTTCTAAGTACAGAACCATTATTGCTAATTAAGTTGTGCAAAGGGTCATTAGTAGACTATTTACTGTACTGTTAATTTATTTATTTATAAGAAACTTCTATAAGTTTGGTATTAAACCCAGTCTATCAACTGTGCTTATGCTTTAGGCTTTTAAGTTTCTCAAATTCAACGTCCTCTATGAATATTCAGGAACTTAAATTCAGAGTTGGGAGGTTGTATGTATGTATGTTTACTATAATAGAATAAGGGAAATAACTTATAATCAAGTACAGGAACTCAAAAAATTAGAAAACTTGTCAAGGAATTAATTGAATCTATACTTCTCTGTATACCTCCTCCTCAAATTCCAAAGCATAGTGATGTGTTTAGCATGGTCTATGATCACTAGACCATGTTCTCTAGTTATCTAGGGGTGTTCTTTGATCTGATTATATTCAGAATGTAATGACTGGAAATGGCTCTTTGTCTGATAGGACTGAACTGTGTTTTGAACACCTGCTGTCTAAATGCACATTAGAGAAGCTCTTCCAAGTGGATGCCATTGTCTATCCATGGAAATACTCAGCTGTCTGGAGGGACACCTGTTATGTGGGTTCACAGTGACTCTCACCACATCCTGAAAACAAATGCCAGAGAAAGAACTAAGAAATCCTTTCAGCATATGTGCCAAAGGATGGTGAGTGCCTTACATTATGGTTTTTTAAAGCAAATATAATATCTTCCCCATTTTTTCAGCATTAGGCAACTACAGCAGAGTTCTGAAACCACAGTGATAGGATTATCATCTTCCAATGGAATCATATATTTGTGGGCTGTCAGTTTTGCCTAGTGATAATGACCTATGTCTCTTTTCAGGCTCATGAGGAAGAGAATCTTGGTGAAGAGAGGAAAGGGGAGAAATTTCTACTTTCGTACTCTTCTTACTTGTGACTCAGAGAGGTGCCAAGGAGAGAGTCTGGGATGACTTTGGGAAGAAGGAGAGGACAGAAATGAGAGAAATGAAAAGGTTGATTTTTTTTTTAAATGGTGATGCTATTAAAGAATTGGTAATAGAAGAAAAAGTTCTAGGAAGTGGTGGAAATAATATAATGGTTTATCCCTCTTGCTAACTGTGGGTTTATGTTAACAAGCTGTACCTATAGCAATTATAATATTGACATTGATTTATTGCTATTAGGAATATACAAATATGCTTTTAATACCAATAGCAGATTTTTATGTTTAAAAAATATGTGTAGAATAAATGGATAAAAACATATTTACTACTTTTAAATTCATTTTTATGCTCTGCTTTTTTCCTGCTTAATGTAAGTATTTTCCAGGCAATAAGTATATTTCAAAGCCACACAATACTCTGATGCCACTAAAAGTGTTTTGGTAGTGTTATCAGATGACTAAATTTTGTATATTTGAGTATTTAAACTGCTTTTAATATTTCTCTGTTGTATACCAAAACTATCATAAGTATGCTAGAATTTTGGCCTTCAAATGCTTTGAATGAGCATTCAGATGGTAAGTAACTTATGCTAGCTGCATGTGAAAATTTTCATCTCTAATCCGTATCCACCCATAAAACCCAGGGAGCCAGGGGTTAAACTCTTAGCAGATGGTTGGGCTGCTAATGATGCTGCTGACTGAACATGCCAGGAATTTAAAGAGTTGCTTAAACAGGGTTAATATATAGCCTGTGGGAAGACAGCTGGGCTGTAGCAGAGTTAGAGGTGAGAAGGTTAGCCACATCTCCCTGAAAACAGAGGACACGCCAGAGTCAGGATCTGTGAAAGCCATTTAGGGAAAGGAAAAGGCATAAAGGTTCTATTTAAGGGAGCAATTGAGTAAGAGGGTAGGTGGTGCTAGAGGAGAACAGAATAACTTCCAAATATGGAGAAGGGGGATGGGGGAAATGAAAGAAGTCAGAAATAAACATGGCAGAACATTGCCTCTACTCCACTCCTAACCATGGACAGAGACCATACCTCTAGCCCACTTCTCAGCTGCACGGTTTGGTGTTTTATGATTTGAGCAGTATGTGGATGTGTGTTGAAGAGCTCTGATCCTGCCAGACTATCAGATGTTTCACATGGCTAGTTCACACTATAAAAGGATACAATGGAATATTATCAAGTTGGAAGAAATCGTGAACCTCTTGGAATTAAAATCTCAGCAAGGACAGTAGCTGAAATCTATGGCAGCCCAAATTTTGCAGATACTTAAAGGTCTATTCTTAGTGGGGCACTGTGAGAAGTGTTGTACAAGCTTGACATTTTTAAAAAGTCAGACAATCACAGCACTCAGGTAATTTATTATACAGGGACGGTGAACAGAAGAATTAGATAAACCCATGATTGTAATACAAGGTAACTAAGAAATCTTGTACAGACAAAGTGATAGGGTAGGAAGATCCAAAGCAAGAGAGAGATAATCAGTGAAGACAATGGATTGTTATGAAGGGTGTAGTATAATATTATCAAAGATGAAGGTCATTACTAGTGAAAGAAATCACATAAACACACTAAGGGACGGTCTTCCCCTATCCTTCAACCTCCCCCCCCACATGGGTATAATACTTCATTTGAGGTCTCTATGGAATGTCAAGCTATCCTCATGTTCAATCTATGTCAAAAATGAATTTTCAACAAATATATTTTGAATATTGATGACCAATTTCTACAAGGCCTATAAAATGATACAAGGAAAGACCATGAGCTTTTAATGACAGATAGATTTGGGTTAAAATTGTAATCCATTACCTTGGTATGTGACCCTGAATAAAACTACTCAATTTCTCTAAGAAATTTTCTTATCTATAAAAACAAGGAATATAGGAATGGACTTTGCACAATTTCTGTAAGGACTAAATAGGAAGATGTGCTAAATACATTGCACATACATTGCTCTGATTTTTGTCTTCACCCTTGTCCTGATCAAGTCTGTGCAGCTACTCACTGCCTCCTTTGTAACACCAGAGGGCAATATGATCCTGTTCTTCTATCAAAAGCTGCCAGGAGTGAATCCTGTTCACAGCAGACAAGGTTTTAAACAAAACAAGAAAGGTTCGTCAAGAGAGGAAAAGCAAACTGTTCCAGAGGTGAATAGGGCAATAAGGAATAAACCCTGGAAGGAGTTAGGAGCAGCTGCTGTGTTCCTTAGGGAGCAGCTGTGTGTGAAGACGCTGTTGAAAGGCACCATTTTAGCCATCTATTATTTCTAGCAGCTGGGTTAGGAGGACTTCTGGTGCTGATAAAACATAGACTTTTAGATTGGGAATCTAAATGAATCTGCTTGTTTACTACTAGAAAACTGTCCTTGTGTATCTCTGAAAACACTGCTGGAATGTGTTTGCTAGAGAATCAGAACTTAGGTGACTCATGTTTGTCTGAGACAGTCCTGGTTTATGCCTGTGGTCCTGGAATAATTTTTTTTTTTTTTTGCAGAGTGTAATGCATGTTCCCCCCAATATATATTTGGAATAATTTTTAATAGTTCTCTATTTTATTCTCAAACTGTCTAGGTATGCAGGATAAGTTATGGGGCCACCCTACTTAGAATATCAGGATGGATGCTCTGAGGGAGTGACCAGACTTGATCCTCCTTGGCATGCCCCCCAAGACCCATGTCTTGGCTTTCCTTTTCCCTCCCCAAATCTAGTTCCTACTGGGCTCAGAAGTTTCCTTCTACAAGAGGATCTGGGGACTGGCATCCTGATAAAAAAGGATCAAGGTACATGCTTCCCCTTCTTTTTGTTGACAGGGTGGCACTGGTGAGCATCTCCAAGCTGCCAACCTATCAGCATCCCAGGTCTTGAGCAATTGAGAGATCCCCAGGAGCAGAGATGGAGCAGAGACATATAAAGTTACTTGGGGCTTGTTCTAGTTATGTCTTCATTCCCTACCATTGGGTTTTTCTGACCCCATGTTGTTGATTAATGAAATGAAACATTTTACCAAAGGTTAAAAAACAATCTGACCTGGCAAGTCCTTGGGTTTGGTTAAGACCACGCATGGTCAGAAAGTGACAGATTATATGGGTTAAAATCCCTGCTCTGTCTTCATGTCACTGGCAAGCTATTTAACCTCCTTACTCCTCAGTTTCCTGATGTTTAGACTAGGGATAGTAACAAGACCTGAAAGCATTGTCCCATTTAATCTTCCAAATTAAAGTGCTTACTAGAGTCTCTAGTCTTACTAGAGTGCTTATGTAATGATATGTAATTGCAGTCCTTGTTAATATATATTTTTTTGCGTTTTGCTATAGTTTTTTTAAAATAATTTTTTATTAGGATATATTTGTTATACAAGGAGGATTCATGGTGACAATTCTGATTTTCTTATTTTGTACATTAGTTGCATCACCCCTGTCATCTCTCCCCTTCAGTCTCCTCCCTGCCCCACTTAAAGCAATTGCAAGAGGTTTCTTTGTTCTAGTTCATGTAAGTACATGAAGTCCATCAACCATATACTCTCACTTAATCTCCTTCATTCACTCCCCCACAAGTACCCCCCACAACACTATATCTATTTTATAGTCCTGTTTTTCATTATTAATATTTAAGTTGGTGCTCAAAGGCATTTCTCAATGTATCCCTGCTGTGGGTATACCATACTTTGGTCCATTCAACTCTGTAAATTACTCTCCCTTATCCCTTTACCTCCCACCTCCCATTTTTCAACAGCTTTCAATACACATCCTTACATCCTCTACCTTCACAGATGTTATGTTTTATGATATTACCGATGCTTTATCATTCTCTTTTCCTTTCTTTCTTTCCCTGAGTTCCATAGAGTAGTTCCACTATTACAAACATATTCTACATCTAAGTTTGTATATGATCATGCTTGTTTTTGTGTATATGTTTGTCTTTTGGATCTGTCTTCCATGGATGAGAGAAAACTGTGGCCTTTATCTCTCTGAGCCTGGCTTGCTTCACTTAACATGATGTCCTCCAGTTGCATCCATTTACCTTCAAACCACATGTCATTGTTTGTTCCTTATGGCTGAGTAAAACTCCATTATGTATATATACCACACTTTCTTGATCCATTCATTAGTTGTAGGGCATCTGGGTTGTTTCCATAGTTTGGCTATTGCGAATAGTGCTGCAGTGAACGTTGGTGTATAGATTTCTTTATTGTATCCCAACTTACATTTTTGGGTAGATGCTGAGGAACAGTATCATTGGATCATATGGCAGTTTTATCTTTAGCTTTTTGAGGAACCTCCATACTGCTTTCCTTAGTAGTTGTGCTAATTTTCATTCCTACCAACAGTGGATGAGGGTTCCTGTTTGACCACATCCTTGCCAGCATTTGTCTTTAGTACTGCCTTTGAATATGGCCATTCTAAACTGGAGTGAGATGAAATCTACCTTGTTATTATTTTTCAGATTTGCTGTAAGATTCAGGCTGTCCTATTAGCTGTATTGACTGGGTTCTGTACACGTAAAGGAATTGAGGCCCAGAATAAAATGAATTGCCCAAGGTCACAAAAACAACTTTTGAGTTAAAGGCCCAAGTTTAAAGTTAAAACAAGAACCCATTTCTCAGAACTCCCTATCTTGTACACCAGGGTGGTTGCTGCTTCTGTGGAGATCATTCAAGGTTGAAGATGTGACCTAGTCTCTGTCCTGCAGCTTTTAGCAAATACTGAGTACAATATTATTCTGAAGCTTAGAATAGACATTTGACTCTTCTACTGCATTTTTGTTGCAAAATTTTTCAAATTTATAAGAATGATACTGGAATAAACACTAATATATGTACTTCTAGCAAATCCTAACATTATTCCATACTTGCTTAAATTCTTTTTTCAAAGAAATTAAATGGTGTAAATATAGCTTAGACCTCCTGTGCACCACCTCGCATTTACAGCCTTTTCTCTTATTTATTAATTAGTATTATTTACTGGGTCTCAATCTTTATTAGGGGTTATAACCACAAATGGACTTGCAGGGCCTTAGGATAAGAGCACATTCATCTTTACTCAACATTGTCAAATTTTGCCAAATATTACCAAATGTTTTCTAAAGTGATTGCTTCAATTTCCATTGTACTTAATTTTTTCACAGATAAAATATATGATTTAATTAAAATGAACAGAAAAACCATAGTTATTCCAGCAATGAAGTCATAAGAAGAACACACTACTTGCCAAGTGTATGTACTTTTAAGAATATTTATTGGAGGTCTACTATGTGTTAAACCCTAAGGTAGGTGAATTACATTTACTTTTCAATTAATCCTATTACCTATTACTTTTATTATTAATCCTAGTCACCAAATCCTCTTAATTCATCCTCAGAAACATCTCTTAAATTCATCTCTTCCTTAAGTTTTTGCAGAAATACAGATGACACCTGCTGAGTGAAGCTAACTCCTTGCTTGTAGTGCAATCTGTGTTTAGCATTTGTCATAATTATTTCTGAAAAGCATAAATGAGTTCTTGTTACTCCTGACTATGGAAACTTTTTAGGGATTTTCCACTGACTAGAGAATGAACTTCCAGCTTTTGGGTTTAGGTAGATTTTGAAAGATTTTGCCATAGAGCTTTCTACCCTCACCTCCTTTGGGTCCCTCTACTCTTCATTAACCAGCTACCCAAGATGGAGTAGTTCCCCAAATAGGACAAGTACTTTCCTAATTTTTCCTAGGGAAAAAGTTTTTTTTTCCCTAGGAAAAACCCTGAGCAAAACCGTGGTGGGTTGAATGTTCATCCCCACTCTCATCTCCGGCAGATATATTGAAGACCCTTAGTATCTTGGGTATATGGTTCCAAGGATACCACTGTTGAAGAAAAGCCACTAATGCTCAGGATGCCTAGAGGTCAGTAGTCTACAATCACTCCAGTTTCCCTATACCATATGTACAGCAGATCTGAGCATCCACAACTTGAAACCACATGGAGTGAACTAACTTACTGTCACAAAATTACTGTTGTACACATTAATACTGCTCACCGAAAGCTAGATCTTATTTCATGCTCTTTATCTCAAGTACTGCAGATGTGTGATTCATTTTTCCCATAATGCTGATTAAGTTTCACTAAAAACATGCTGCCTTTCTAAAATTCACTTTATTATTTAAATGAAGCATATTGCATATCCTTTTTTGGGTTGGGAGGATTACCATCACTTTTACCTCGCTTTTTGGGCACCACTTGTTTTCTAGTATTTTCACAAAATTAAGGCAGATCACATGATGATTTAAATACAAGTGACAATAATGTGGGACTGACGGAGAACTTCTCTCCATCAGTGAGCTGCATAATGCATGTGCAGGAATTTAAATTTTTCTGGCATTTCTTTTGATTTTTAAATTCAATTTTAACTATGGTCAAAATTGCATGTACTAAACCTATGAAGAAGACAGGCTTACTGTATCACAAATATAGCTTTGAGTGGTTCCTTGCTCTAGAGTAGAGGTGAACAGAGCTGGAGATGGATTGCTTCAGAAAGGTTAGCTGGATAATTCAGCTCTTTGTCATAGGTGAGGAGACCAGATAACTTAACATACGTTGCCATATTTAACATATGACTTAACTGGGACACTTTTGAAAGGAGGGGGTTAAAAATCCTTAAAAAATTTTTTTAAAACTTCATTTGTTAAGTATATAACATTGATTTTTTTTGGCAGACCTATAAAACAGGTCTTAAAAAGCTATAATAAAATAGTATGCACTTATGTACATTAATAAATCCAAGCAAATTTATCTCCAGTGTTGACATTTTAAACTGAATTTACAATAGCATTCACAATAATGAGAGCTGTTTTACTTTCATCAAAGTGAACTTCTCACCTTGACTCCCTGCAGATGAAAACAATGAGCTATTAATAGACTGAACCTAACTGACTTTCTCTTTGAAGCATCTGAAGACTTTGATATAAAACTGATATCATTTAACATTTTGAGAAGTTTTTCTGCTAATGGAGCTGACACATCAAAAGTTCTCACTTCAGTTTTGTACATGCAAATAATACTTGGAGGTGAAAATCGGCAAAATAATTTAGAAGTTTGCTCTCCATAAATTATGCTTCACTGGGGAATATGTTAGCACTGACTATGGAAGCTACACATGTTAAATTGCCTTCTTTGGGTCCAGTCTCTATGTAATAACTACTAACTTTTTTAAAGAAGGCAGTACATTGTCTTTTTAAAATAAGCACCCTAATAAAGTATAATTTACCTGCTGTTTAGGAAATGGTGTAGATTGTAATGAATAATGAATGCTTAGACCAAAAATTTGAATATTGTTTGCATTTCATTCTCCCAACATTATACACACCTTCTCCCCAAGAGTAACCATTGTCTTGATACTAGGCACCATCATTTAGCATTGCCTACTTATCAGTTTCATGAAAATGATATCATATATTATGTGTTTTTTCTTGCTTTTGGTCCCTTTCCTCTAATATTTGTGAAATTAATCCATGTTACATAAAAGTAGGAGGTTTTTTTTCTTGGCTGCTAAACATTCATTTGCGTGAATGCCACAATTTATTTAGCCACTTGCTGCATTTGTACTATTTCTTTCCAGTTTGGGGATATTATGAAAATACCATTATAAACACTATTACACATTTTGGGGGTATATGTATATGACACTCATTTTTGTTGCACATGTGCCTAAGATAGAATTGCTGGGCCATAGGGTAGTTGAATGTTTAGCTTTAATAGATTTTGTAAAACAAATACTCTGCATCTAGTCTGCTCAGGCTCAATTACCCTTCCTGTATTTCATAAACATTTTACCCTTATTTTCCCACTTTTCATATCTGGAGTCCTGCCAGCTTCAAGCATCTTGCAGACAAGGAGATTGGCCACTGCCTAATTAGCTGATACACCAAGTGGAGGGGTGTGGTAGGCTTGATTAGCTTTTCCTGAAGTCCAAGAAGTAAGCAAAACAGTTGTTGGAAAATATGGATGTGGCTGGAGACTCATATCTTCTTTCCTAGTAGGATGTACTTTCTGCCACTGGGCTTGTTGACTTGCTTCTACCAGAGAAGGGGAAAGATTAGGAAAGAAGTCTCAGAAGAGATAGTATGTGTAATGTCAGGCGAGGTAGGAGATGTGTGTTTCTAAGTGCGTACAGAAGACAGATCTGGCTCTTTGCCCATGTACTTCAGACTTAGGACCATGGAGCATGGTCAAGATGGAGGACTGCAGGTTTGTTATTTTAGTGTGGGGTAAAGGGGTTTGCATATCAGAGGAACATGGCAAAGGACTGCCAGCTGGAAGATGTGTGGCTGAGTCTTTCAAGAGACCACCAAAGCTGGGATGCTTCTTATTTAGAATAAACTCTTCAGTGCATGTGGGGCACTGGCTCCCCACTGCATATCTAGTACCCTCCATGGCTTCATAAGGGAGGGTTCCCAAGAGAAGGGAAATATTGGCATTTTGTGGGCTGCCCCATAACCAGACTTCTGTGTCTCTTACTGTTCTGGGTTGGTTGAAAGAGGAGTAATTCTGCGGAGAAGGAGGTATAATGTAAAAGCACCAACATTCTATCCATATTCCCCTAAGCTGTAAGTCAGTTACATGGGAGGAAAATGGAGCCTTGATTAAGTAAATGATTGAAATTTTAAAATAAGCAGAAGCATTGTGGTTTTTTTCATTTTTTTAAGCATTGTGTTTTAATAACTGAAAAGGACAGCAAATTGTGATCTAGGACTGAGAACATATTAGGGGCTCTGCTACCCACTAAAACAGAGGATTAACAGAGCACATTTAAACACATTTACTGGAAAAATAAAACCGTTCCATGTTTATACCCAAGTTGTTGAGACTGCGTAGTCAAATTGGTTACATAATCTGACACAAATGCACTTGATTAATGTTATTCTGCACTGAGAGAATGGAGCTCACATCTGTTGTGCCCCCCACTATGTTCTGAGTGCTCAGCATAGGGCCTGGGACATCACAGATACTGGCTCAATATTTGTTGTATGAATAGCATGACTGATCTGCTTTTCTTGTCACTACAGTTTTATACTCTAACTAAAAAATTGTACACACGCCTAATGTTGATTAAACTCTCTCTGAAGGCAATCATCTGTAAAAGTATAATGGCATATTATTGAATTTGTAACTTTTTTTGAAGAATCTATCTTTCCGTTCTAGAATAAAGGAAATAACTGAAGCAAAAGTTACAAAGACCCTATTTTCTTATTGGAAGCTAGTCTTAGTCAATTTATAGCTTTAACTTATCTAAATTGAGAGAAAATGAACAGGAAAAAATGTGGTCAGTGTATTAAATGAACATTTCTTTTTTTATGTCCACAAGGTTCTTTTCAAACTAGTTCTCATTGTAACTAGGGACAGTTTCTCATAATTAAGTGTCAGAGTTTGAATCTTGTAGTATTTTTATTGTATGGAGAAAGTTTTTTTCCCATTAAATATTAATGCCATTAAATAATAGTGAGGCCAGATGTGATAGTACATACATGTAATCTCAGCACTTAGAAGTCTGAGGCACGAAAATCGTGAGTTTGAGGACAGCCTGGGCTATATATATATTTGTTTTGTCGCAAAAAAACAAAACAAAACCCTACACAGTGGCTTTAGGCAAGTACTAGAATGGGCAATTAAGTGAGTAATTAAAAGTTATTATCAGCTCAAGTTCAATGTGACCCATAGATTCACCCACTTTGCTTTGGGGTAGGGGATGGATACTTTGTGTGACACTAATTACTAAGATATCAAAAGAAACTTACCCTAAAATGAGCTTACTGAGAAAGTAGCTCCATGACACAAACTCAAGGACATTGTTATAAGTCGTTTATATGCATTTTCTTTAATAATATGCTAAAGGCTTCACTAGAGCAAACAATCTTTCTATTTTTAATAAACTTTTAATTGTGGAACAATTTTTAGGCCAATTTAAGGACAGAAAGTTCTCATATACCCCATACCTAGATTCTGTATTATTAACTGCTAACATTAGTATGAGCATTTTTAAATTAATGCATTATTATCTTAAGTACGTAATATATTCAGATTTTCTTATTTATTTTGTTTACTTAATGCTCTTTTTATGTTCCAGGATCTCATTCAAGATACCATGTTATATTATCACAGTTTTCATATTTCCATTGTTTTTGATTTCCCTGACAGCTTTGAGGAGTACTGGTTAGGTATTTTGCAGAATGTATAAACATAGCTAGATGGTGTTTATGGGTTTGGAGGAGGGGACTACAGATACCCTAAACTATAACACTAGAAACGTGAATTATCATTGTTCATGCTGACCGTTACTACTTGCTTGGGTGTATTGGTCAGGATTCTCCACTGTAAAGTTACCCTTTTTCTCTCTTCCCATACTACACATTTGGAAGTCAGCCAGAGATACCTACATTGAGAGCAACTCGAATTGCTCTGAAATACCTGTTTCATTTTAATTTTATTACAGCATTACTTTCTGTACCATAGGTATGCATACATTCATAAATGTTCACATACAAATTCTCTCCCTCTTATCCCTACACAGAGAAATCCAGGAATGTCTACACAGAAGAGTCTCAAATTCACAACCTAAGTCACCAATAAGATCTTCTCCCTATATTAGAAGCTAACCAGGGACTACAGATTAAAATCGAATCCCCTCCCTTTTACATACATTCTAAGATGAAACTCAATGCTCGGAGATGAAACATGTTTAGTGCTTGTTTTGACAGAATGGAGATAAGTGGTGGTAAAACATGGGTCCTTTGCTCTTATTCTCCATTGAAGAATAAAGAGATCTGCAGTCACCACAAGCCCAGCCTGGGCCCTGAAACGGTTAGCAGTTGTTTTCTCCTACATAAGCCAGGGATTTGACCTGCTGGCCTCTATTTGGAAGCTGGGTTTAGCTCCCAGTGAATCCTGGAAACAAAGAAACTTAATTTCCTTTCACCCTACCTCCTTAAAGAATTACACACAGTTATCATGTCTTCTTTCCTTTTATTGTTAGCATATGCAGAATCAAAAATACTATTAAAAACAATAAGTAGCAGTAAAATCTACCATAAACATTGTTACAGTTCTTCCCTGAAATGGAGGTAGGGATGTCATTTCAAAGCCCTATTCCCAAATTCCAATCAAGCAGACTATCTTAGTCTGTTTTTAGGAATTTGGTCCATATTAAATTTCAGAGCAAGCCCCTTATTAGTTAGCTAGATATAATTAACAACAGAGCTAATGCAAATCTATTGATACAAGAAAAATTGAGGGATATAAAGCAGCACTGTCCAGTGAAATATATAAGCCATTTATGATATTTGAAATTTTCTAGTAGCCACATTAAAAATAGAGCAAAAGGCCAGGTGTAGTGGCTCAAGCTTGTAATTCTAGCTATTTGTGGAGGATCAAAGTTCGAGGCCAGCTAGTGCAAAAAGTTAATGAGACCCCCCCATCTCAATGGAAAAAAAGCTAGGCATGATGATACACACCTGTCATCTCTTCCCAGTATTAACAGAAGGATCAAAGTCTAGGCCAATTTGGACTTAAGTGCGAGACCTGATCTCAAAAGTAACAAAATCAAAAAAGGCTGGGGGCATTGCTCAAGTAGTAGAATACCTGCCTAGCAAATGCAAAGCCCTGAATTCAAAACCCAGTATTGACAAAAATAAAAATAGGGAAAAAGGAAACAGGTGAAACTAATTTTTAATAACATCTAAGTTAACATGTCTAAAATATACTTGCAACAGGCAATCAAAATTGAAATCGTTTGTATGCTTTTTCCCTAAGTCTTAGAAATTCAGCGTGTATTTTACTTTTATAGCACATCTTAATTTAGAGGCTAAATTTTCAATGGTTAAGCAAAGCCATCAAGCTAAAACAAAACCATGTTTAGCAGAAAGTATTTTATGTGAATTCAGCTTTTTCACTTAAATGAAATAGAGTTAATTTCAATTTTAAAATTTAGTTCTTGGGCAATACTAGACATCTTTCAAGTCCTCCATTAACCATGAGTAGCTTGTGGACACTATATTGATCAGTGCAACATGTATAGATTAAGATCAGAGCACTTTTACATTGTAGAGTTCAAAAAGATGGTCCATGTCATCACTACAAAACAGAGGTCAAGAGTACTGGGTGAGAGTTAGAGGAAAATAACCAGAGGCTTGTATAGCTAAAAAAAGATTTCAACTGATGAAGGTAGACTAGGAGTCAATGCTGAAGGAAAAAGCCTGCTGGTTCATGGCAGGGCCCTGATGAAGCCAGAGGGTTCACTGTATGTGAAACAACTTGTCCTTGTGGCTATGAGATTGCCCTGGCATCTCTTGGAACTCCAGGAGCAGGAAAAAAATCCCACATCACTGAATCTTCTGATATCAGGGAACCCGGAGAAGGTCTAAGGGTCAGTGAACCTGGGATGAAGAGATGACAAAGCTAAGATTGTGGTCCAGGATGTGAAATGAGGCAGTTATCTAACCAATCAGGTAAGCAGGGAGGGGGAAGATAGAAGGATGTAATGATGCCAGGGCTAGGGAGAGCTTTGGGAGTGCTCCCAGGAGTTGTTCTCTAGAGAGGGTTTTTATCATCTGATACTCTATCAGGGCACTAAAATGGGCTCTTCCAGTTGAGACAGACAATGCCAAGTAGCTCCCTTTATCATCTAAACTCTTCCAAGCAACTCAGAGCCCATGGGCCAAATCCAGTCACTACTTATTTTTGTAATTAAGGTTGGAACACAGTCATGCTTAGTCACTTATGTTTTACATTTGACAGCTCTCACACTGCAATGGCAGAGTAGTTGCCACAGAGAACATATAGGCCATGAGGCTGAAATCTTTTCCATTTGCCTCTTTACACAAAATGTTTGTTGATCCTTGGATTAGTCAAGCACTACACCATCTATAAAGTATCTCCAGTCCAACTCTCCTGCCATTAGTCCACCATCAGCATTTTGAGAGGGGGCTGAGAATCCATGATTTCTCGGTCACAGTAAGGATTTCTTTGGAGAATTAGTGTGCTATACCTCCATGGGAGAAGAACGTGGATGTGTCCTCGTCCTGGCTCCCAAACTGAAGCCAGGTGAGGGAGACTTGAATCCCTGTTAGAACTTAACGCATGCTTCCTGAAATCTGGATGACACTACAGTGACTTCTTCCTGGTGGTAAAAAGTCTTACTAGAGGGGAACTACTTAGACCAAGGAGAAAGGCCCACCGTAGCTATGCTGTAGGCCCAATACCATAACCGTTCTCCTTCTTACCTTTGTTTCTTCTCATTTTTCACAGTGTTATTGAGATGTAGCTCATATGCCATAAAATTCACCATTTGAAAGTGTACACTTCAGTGGATTTTGTATATTCACAGTTGTACAACTATCACAATTGTCGACAATTTAACTTTCCCCAAAAGAGGCCATGTGTCCATTAGTTACCCCCATTTCTCCTTACTCCCAGCCCTAAGTGTCTACTAATCTACTTTTTGCCTCTATGCATTTGCCTATTTTGAGCATTTGACATAAATGGGATCATATAATATATTGCCTTTCTTATGGTTTGGCTTTTATTACTTACCATAATTTTTATTTCTATTTATTTATTTATTTAGGTTGTACTGGGGACCGAATCCAGGGCTTTGTACATGCCAGGCAAGTACTCTATTATTTGAGCTATACCCCTGTCTCGCTATCCCCTTTTTTTCTTTTCCTTGAGACAAGATCATGTTAACTTTGCCTGGCTGTCCTCCAACTTGTGATCCTCGTGCCTCTGCCTCTCAAGTAGATGGGATTTCAGTAATGTGCTACCACACCACGCTAGCATAATGTTTTCAAAATTCACTCATGTTCTAGCATGAGTCAGTGCTTCATTACTTTTTATGGTTGAATAATATTCCATTATATTGGTGGTACCATTGTATGGATATAACACATTTTGTTTCCTCGAATGTTTTACCAAAATTTTGAGTCTACTTTTTGGATATTATAAGTAATGCTGCTATGAACATTTGTTTGACAAGTTTTAGTTTGGACTTCTGTTTTTGGTTCTTTTCCATATCTCCCTGGGAGCAAAATTGCTGGGGGTCAGTGTAACAATGTCATATGTAACTCTATGCCCATCCTTTTGAGTAACTCCCAGACTATTTCCAGAGTTGTGCCATTGTACATGTCCACCAGCCATGGGAACTCACTACATGAGAGTTCCCGTTTCTCTATGTCTTTGCCAACACTTACTGTCCATCTTTTTTATTATGGCTATCTTAGTAAGCATAAAGTAGTATTTGGTTGTAGTTTGCTTTTTTCACATTTTATTTTTTTAAATTTTCACTAGCATAAATTAATTGAATGAATGGACTTCATTGTGATATTTACAATGTGCATATAATATATTTTGATCAAATTCACCCCATCTATATTATTCTTCCTTAACCATCCTCCTTCCATTCCCCCCTCTTTTTACAGATTTTGGTGGGATTTATTGTGCTATTTTCATTGTTTTGCATTACCCTTTGATATCAGTGTTGAACATCTTTTTTGGAGAAAGTTGTTCAAATTCTTTTGTTCATTTGTAATTGGTTTATCTTTATATTATCATGTTATAGTAATTGTTCTTGATCTGCCTTAAACAGTCTTTTCCGTATCTGACTGCTGGGAAGGGTGAGAGACCAGCAAAAGCCTGGGACTGAGAGTTGTGTCATGTGTGGTCATCAGGAGGCAACATCAGTTGATACAGGAATGTTGGTGGGTCTCCTAAAAACCCACCAAAGCACTAAAGAGAAAAAGAGCCACAGTTTGGGCAGACAATGCAGAGATTGTGTCATGAGACTTGTACTTTTTCTTAAATTATTCCTTTATTCCCTAACCTTCCCTAGGAGCCAGAGTGAGTGGTTAATTAGCCAATAACTGGAGAAGGAGGGAGAAAAGTAGCCCAAAGTAGGGGGAAGGAAAAAGTTGAATGGATTGAAATAATGAAGCTTTTATTTAGATTTAATTGAATTATTTTATAAGTCAAAAATGATTTACAAAATGCTATTCATTAGCACCTGGCAGTAAATAGAAAAACCATAGAATTTTCATAGAATTTCATAGAAATTTCATTCAGCGACAGAGACGACTGAACTAGCTCAATGGAGTCAGAGGCAGTTGTGTGAAAATAAGCACTAAGCCAGTTCATAATGTCATTTTACTGGCCATTACAAGATCTTAGACTAGTCACCACATAATATAAACATGATGTGTGTGTGTGTGTGTGTGTGTGTGTGTGTGTAGGGAGGAACCAAAGGGAAGAAAATTAGGAAGTTGCAAAGGAGGAAAGTTTTGAGAAGTTGGGAAGCCAGGATGTTGGCTACATAGTTGAGTTTGATACTATGCTCTAATCAAAAGGGTGATAGGGAATGTGATAGGAATGAGAACAATGCACTTGACTGCTAGGAAGATGAGGTGGCCCTGCAGGCTGATAGACAGCAACCATAGGAATGTTGGAAGAACACTGTGTGAGCAGAGTTATCATCTGGAGGCTTCAGGGAGACGTATGCCAACCACATCTCTTGGCTTGGCTTTGAATTGGCGTAAGAGAAGGGAAGTTCACTAATTGAGATACTTGAGAGGAAAGAAGTATGTGGACAGTTAATGGAGTTTGAAAAAAGCAACAAAAGAAGTCAGCAAGGGGTACTGATGAGAAGAAGCAAAGAGAAGCTACCAGTTCAAGGACATGGATAAAGCTGAGGAGATAGGAGGGATGACAGAGTCTATATAAATCTACAGAGAGGCCAGT